ATTGAAGTCAATTGGCCCTGCCTTTCAAGGTCGATATGAGGATTTACAGGAAAAAATGTATGTAAAATGCTTATTATCCTTAGCACATTACTCTGCACTGTGAGAGCCCATTAGCAGGAGTTACTGCCATGATCTGGAAAAAACTGGGAACACGTGATCAAATGTGGGCGAGGAGAAGAAACTGGAAATCCCGTGCACTGCTGGTGGGAATGCAAAATCAGTGCAGCCTCTGTGGAAAACAGTAGGAAGATTCCTCAAAACATTAAAAATAGAACCACCGTATGATCCAGCAATTCCACATCTGGGTATTTATCCTAAGGAACTGAAAACAGGATCTCAGAGATATCAGCACTCCTCAGTGCACTGCAGCTCTACGGACATAAGACAGATGTGGAAACCACCTGACCGTCTAGAGATGAACAAAAAGAAGAAAATGAGACACACACATACAATGGAACACTACTCATCCTTTAAAAAGTGGGGATTCTTCACTGTGCAACGACACAGATGAACCTTGAGGACATTATACGAAGTAAAATAACCAGGCACAGTTAAGAACAAATACTGCCTGATCCCACCGTTATAAGGTATCTTATAAAAAAGACAAATTCATAGCATTTAAAGGGTAGAAGCGGCACAGTCTGCATTGAGCGTGATGACTAAGCCCCAGAGACCTGCTGCGCGACACGGTGCCTGTATTCAACAACACATACACCTAAAACTTGTTAAGAGGATAGGTCTCACATTAAATGTTCTTTAAGTTAAATTTAACATTTAAATGCTCCGTAAAAGTTAAAATTATTTTTTTTAGAAAATCTTAAAGAGAAAAACAGCTTCACGAATCCTTCCTACTGTGCCTGGCAAAAGGGTAAGTGTGTGCTTTGCTCCTCCGTAAGTGGCTAGGGCTCCGAAACAAGATGTTCTTCCTCTACCTGAGTCTCACCCCATCACCACCGTTTTTCTAATTTTGCTCCTTGAACAAAGAAAATGGAAAAGCAGGTCTCTCGTCAGAAGTCTGCCCCGCTGAAGCTAACAGAAACCTCAGGGTCAGGCGCGGTTAGGAAGAGAAGAGGTGAACTCTTGAAATGATTTTTAAAACATCCCAGTAACCCAAACGCAGGGACTCCTTCTGCACTCCTACCTCCAGTCCTCGCACCACATGTAACAGGGGGCTAACAATGCCATTAGCATTTAAAACTATTAAATAAACTAGCGCCCAGTGCTGAATGGCTGAGTTTTCCACGGGACTGCTGAGTTTTTTATCAATGCTGAAAGAACTGGAAAGATCCTAAAGAAGCCAACTAAAACAATGACGCCTGCCGGTGGCACTCTGCCTGGAGGATTCCTAGAGTATCTAGAACTTCCAGATGCAAAAACCAGGGAATAAAAAAAAGGGCTGAGCAGTTGGCCAGAAATCTTCAAGCAGACTAGTCACTCTCAAAAGTCAGTATTCACAGGTCTTCCCTCGAGAGCTCTCAAATATGCAGGTTCCTGGGCCCACTCCCAGTGGTTCAGGTCAAGGGGTCTAGTGCGAGGCCTGGGAATCCACATTTTAATAAACACCTAGGTTACCTCTGCACTGATGGTCCCAGTCCAGTCCACACTTTGACAAACACGACAGCCTCTCCTACAAAGTTATATTCAGTTGCTTTGTTCGTGGGTAAAGAACACTTTTCCTTCCACGACAGATTGAAAGAGAAGAAACTACTTCAATCTTTAAGCCTGGTAAACTTTTAGGGTAATTAACAGAGATTGGTTACTTGCTGGAAAACGAAGTATCCATTTATACACATACCATGGATGGGTAAAAAAATAAATCATGTTCAGATGTTTTAATGGTTCCCTGAGATGAAATAAATTCAACAACTGAGTGAAAGGCAATAGGCAAACTATCTATCAGCTGAAGTTAACAGCTAAGATGATATTTCAACCATCCATCATGAAAGGGAAGCTTGGACCAAGAACATAAGAGGACAACTATATTTAGAAATATATACCAGGAAGGGTTAAATACAATCGCATCTGAAAAGGAGCTATTACTAATCCACCTAAGCCTGGGAAGAGGTACTGGTAGGATCCAAGGTGGCCTAATATTTTCATAAATGACTTGAAAGATGGAGTGAGGATTATGCAAATCAAACCAGAGATGATACAAAAATGGCAGCGATCACAAATCTGTGGAGAATAAAATTTAACTACTGGGCAATGTCTTTAAATTTGCCTTTATTGAATCCTGTATATTGAAGTCACATATTATGTATCTCTTTATTGAGACTCCACAGGGCCAAATGCCAAGTGATTTACAGACGGAGAAATACTCAGATGCACGCACACGGAGAGGCATCAGCCACCTTCTGGCCATGCAGGGCATCGCTGACACGGGCTCAGTGCAGGGGCACAGTGCAGCGGGGCGGTCAAATACCTCTACACTCCACAGGTGTGGGTGGGGTTACAAAGTGATGTGTGAAATAAACAAGGCAGTGTGTTTGTGACCCTTTGAGCCAACTGGCCTTGGTGCTACTTCCGAAGGGAGTGCTAAGCTTAAATGTAAACCTGGAAGGGACTTCAGAGCAAGCTGTCACAGAGATTATGGGATGTGGCCCCAGGTAAACCAATAATACTAGGAGATGCCTGTCACAAGTACCTCCAGCATAGACAAAATGTTCATGTACCCATTTGCTGGGAAAAGATGGACGAAAGATAAGGGAGCCTGTGAAGACAAAAATTTCTGCTCCTATTAAGGAAAACAATCATTCAAAGCACCATTAGAATCATGGAAGAAAGGTCAGCTTATGGTAACACCATCCCTGGGGACATTCAAGGAGGTGACCAGACACCTCTCTACTTAGGATGCATTAGAGGTTATTAAAAGCATTCCTTGCTGAGTTCGGAGGTGCGGGGTGGGCCTCGTGACCTCTCCAAAGGTCATTCCTGTCCCAAAGGATCACATGTCTGAAGGGCACCAGATAAAAATAAAGTCTATTAATCACTGAGCTGCCACACAGTTTCCTAAGAGCCAGAAAGAGAAGGGCAATCGAGGGTGGACCTTGCTCTGCCCAGGGAGGAAAAGGGAGGCAGTGCCTGTGCAGGCAGAGCCGAGAAATCGGCCACAGAGACTTCCAGAAAACCAGCATCGGGCCTGTGATCAAGCCTCCCAAGTACAAAGGCATAAACAGAAGGAGGAAAGACCCCATGGGGAGGGGAACAGGAAAAGCGAATGACATTGAGAGCCCCTGAAACAAAGTCACCGGAGCTGGGGGAGAGGGTGTGATGCAAGCACTCTGTGCAGAAAGAGGGAGCCAGGCAAGACAGGGTCACCCATAAGGGCGCTTTGTGGAGGCAGACATCAGACAAAGGAGTGAGGAGAGGGCTGAGAGGGAGAGGGAAAATGCACGCAGCAAGCCTGGGAATACAGGGGATTATTATTATTGGCTGGGAATCCAACAAGGGGTGCAGTAATTCCACTATCTAGGGTAGCAGAAAAATCACATAATAAAAACAAAGCTTTTAAAAAGAGAAATCTAGAGACAAAGCCCCAGGTCCAAAGCAGTTGTTGGCATTCTTGATAGCTGAGCTGCTCCAGCCCTAGTCAGAAGGCCTGTTCTGTGGAGGTCTGAAGGATGCTCCCCAGCCCAGAGCCAGTCTCCCTAGGGCTCACGTGCATGGGCTTTTATGAACACCATTCAGGAGGACCCAGACCAAAGCAGGAACCTCCCAGTATTGCAAGGGGGATCAGACCCCATGCCCTGCTCTCTCCTAACCCCAAAATGAAACTGCTTTGGGATGCAGATGTTACCTACAGTTGTCTCAGCGATGGCACCTGCATGGTGTACTAAGAGCCAAATGGGAGCCATGGAATTTGAGGTCTTCTAGCAAAATGTTCTCCAAGCAGCTGTCATCCCACCAGACACAGAACAACTTTTTGAAGTTTAAAGAGGCCAGTGAAGAGGAAGGAAAATGGCACCACCCCCAAAGCACTCCCTGGGCCCTATCTTCCTGGTCCTCTCCCTGCTTTCACAAAGGCTGCAGACACTGGCAAGATGTGTGGACGCCCACAGAGACCACAGCACCAGGGCCCTGCCTCGGCCACTGTCCTGCCATTCTCACCGTCACCCCTTCAGTCCAAGAGCAGAGCTCTGCATCCTCAGAGAAAGAGAAGAGGGGAAGGGGAGATGGTCAGGGAGTGCAGTTTGGAGGGAGGCCCTTGCCACGGAACAAGCAGATGGCGGCCAGTACAGTCAGAAGATAACTAGGGCAAGGACTTTAAACCCACCATCCAATGCTGACAGCATTGTCAGCCCAGCTCTCTGGGCTGACAGCAAAGCCTCCAAATCTGGAGGTTTCTGGAGACCCGCCACTGCCACTGCTCCAGCAAGCTCTCCCTCGGCCCCCCCCAGCTGTCTGTGGACCCTAAACCCGGGCACCAGGCAGATGCTTGTCCAAAAGATGTTTCTGAATCAATCAAGCAAGGCTGGAGATGGACTGAGGGCCACTTATTAACTAAGTCATCATCAGAGGAAGTCATAACTTGCCCTAAATAGGACAGGAGAAAGACCAAAAAAAAAGGAAATTAAAGAGAAACAAATGAGAAAAAAAAGCCACAGGAAGTAAGTACATGTCTTAGAAGTTTCTGAGTTATGCTTTTGTTTGTAAATCTCTGAAATTGACTAAGAAATAGGGGATGCATCTTAAGGAGACAGACTGAAAGAAGAGAGCCCGGAGGTACAAAGTGGGGTTCAACCCAAGTACAGCACCCAAGGTAGGGAGTCTCTTGCCCCCACCCCCACCCCCAAGCTTGCTCTCCTCCAGCAGAAAGCTGGGGGCAGAGGGAGTGAGGGGAGGCAGTGACTGTGCTGAGGGGCGGGCATGTGAGCTAGGGGTGCAGGCCCCAGAGGATCGGCCAGCAACCTAAGGCTGGGGGGGCTGACAGCCAGGGAAGCACAGGGAACGGTGGGGCAGGGCAGGGGCAGGAAAAGGAAGGCGGCTTCGCCTGTACTTACTGTCACAGACATAGGGTTTGTCGTGGTCCTCCTGAGAGGCGGGGTCATGCCTCCTCCTGCCACCTGCAGAGCCACGGGCCTGGGGAGACATTGGGGGATCACGAAGCGGGTTATTCTGACAATCACCACAGTCCCTGAGCAGGTGCTCTGGGAGGCCTGAGTGCCTCACCTGCATCTCCTCGCTCAGCTTTCATCAAGTTTGCCCCAACACCCACCCCATGGTGCAGGCCAGGAAACAGACCCAGAGAAGTTAGGTAACTTGCCCCAAATGGCTCAGCTACTCAGTTCCCAGGGGGAGGTGCTACCATTAGCTCTGTGTAACAGATCAGGAGCCTGAGACAATTAGGGTAAGAAGCTTGTGAAGGTCACTCAGCTACCAAGTGCAGAGCCAGGAATTACCTCGGGACAGTCTCACTGCACAGCCTCTACCAACCAAATTCCTGTGCCCTGCTGTTGCTAGTAGGACCTCTTCCTGCAACTCCTCAACATTCCAGCTTTGTTGATACTGAACATTGATACAGAACACAGATGGCACCCTGCTCCCTACAGCTGACCTGATGGGCATATTGGAGCGAGTGGCATAATCACAGTTACCAGGCCAAGCTCCTGTGTTCCAGTCATCTGCTCAGGTCTCTCAAGAGCCAGCCAGACTTGGCATCGGGGCATAGGGCATGAGCCTAGGGTGAGTGAGGAGCTCCCCTTCCCTGCTCAGGTGCCTCCACAGGGGTGGGCTTCAGAGGAGGCCACCCTGTGCAGCCCACCTTGCGCCTCCAGCCAGTGACAGAAATCCTAACTGCTCACGGTCTCCTGAAGTTGACTACTGACACCACCACCCTGTGGAAGACGCCAGAAAGGGCTGGCATGACCTGGAGAGGGGTGAGACGAGCTCTCCCTCTGAGGGCAGACCAGCTAGGGAGGGACCTGGCGGCTCTGCAGCCCCGGGACAGTAGCTGCAAGAATGCAGCAAGGTTTATTTTTAAACTCTGCAAGCCCACACTGGTCACGTGTGTAGCACCCTCGCCTCCTCGGGGTCATTCTCTGGTAATTAGTAGCAGTGAACTCCCCACCAAGGAAAGGGCCTGCTGGGGTCTTTGGGGACAGAGAGAAAGGCAAAACAGATGAGAAATAAAACATGGCAACAACCTGGGGTGCAGGGAAATGGGGACGTGCCAGGGCCCTGGCCTGGAAAAGCAGCCTAGGGACTTCAGGGTCCAAACACCTCAGATGTTCTCATTCTCATTCATTCTCATATTTTCTCTCTCTCTCTCTCTCTCTCTCTCTCAAACACACACACACACACACTTCACAATCAACGCCACCTGGCAAGTCACCACCTCCACCACTTCCTCAGCTTGTCTCTCTCCAAAACAAATTACAAAATTCCACCTCCCCCCTTCCCTCCCTTCTACTGCTCTTTCCCTTCTAGCCCCCCACCCCCACACACACACACACACACACACACACACACACACACACAGCCAGCACCCCCTCCCCTCGCCCTCACTACTCAGAGTTGACCCAAAAAGGGAGCTGTGAGGCGTACAGGAAGTCACCCTGGGGCACCCATGACACCAAGCCTGTTCCCCCCCTCATGCCCTTGCCCCCCGCCCCCATGCTCCCTCGGTGAAGCCAGGGACAGCTTGGCACGTGCAGCCCGCAGCCCTATCACGGTCGGCTCGGAGCAGGTGAGAGAAGTCAGGCAGAATGCAGAGGCAACTGCAGACTTGGGAGGTGCTCTGAGAGCCTAAAAACAGCGCCGGGGACAAGGACGAGTCCCGTGGAACTGGAAGCACGGAGCTCCAGCCAGGGGGAAGGGGAGGCACCAGGGTTTCTTTTCATTCTGCAGGACTGACCAGCGGGGCGACGACAGGCTCCCACAGCCTCCCTACACCTCAGTGTCCTCAACTGCAAGACGGGTTTCTGCCTCCTCCCTGTCCCGCCCAATCCAACTGGACAAAAGGAGTGAAGGACCGGAAGCCCCGGTCATTCATTCACTGCCATCGACCCACTGACGCATCCAATGGCGATCTTGTGCCAATCCCCTTAGTTTCACCTCAAGCTCATGCTATGTCCCCCAGGGCTTTGTTTTTAAATGATCCCTGTCAGGGACCAGCCTCTCTGCCCACCCCCACCCAACCCATGCTTCAGCCCTGCCAACGTCCCGCACCCCCAAGAATCATCTTCTTGCCACACTGAGGAGTGAAAACAGCATTCACGTTAAAGTCAGACACAGGTTCGAGCACCAGCCACGTGTCTTTGGACAAGTTACCTCCCTAAGCTTTACCTTTCTTCACTGTCAAACGGACATGGCAGCACCTCTCCTGCAGAAGTGCTGAGACAGAACAAAGGCTGTGTGAAACCACAGGGGGACGGTGCTGTGGCTACAGGAAGTGCTCAGCAAATGATGTCCCCTCCTCGCCCGAGCTGATCTCTCTTTCCTCTGAACTCTTCTTACTGCATTCGGTTAGTGCCCAGTGAGAGGCCTGCTGCTTTCTAATTGTATCACGGCTACTAGCATTTTGTCCTCAACTTAATTCCAGCATCCTTGAGAGCGGTGACGCATTTCACGCTTTATTACGCATCCCCAACACTTAGCACGACGCTGGGCCCGGCGTCCACAGCACTTTCACACACACCAGTTCCATTAATTCAGACAATACATGAGTTTGAGCAAATTTTATCATTCCCATTTGGCACTTGATCAAACAGGTCCAGGAGGGTCCCTAACTTGTCCACAATCATAGAGCCAGCAGAAGAAGCAGGACCCAGGTCTTCGGACTTTGTTGTAGAAAACTCTGAACCCCCCAAAATCAGTTCTCCCTCTTTGAGAACTGCCCACCCCCACTCCACCCGTGTCCCATTCACACGGTGGTAGGCAGTGACAGTCGTAACTGTACAACATGACCTGCTCCCATGACCACAGCTGATTGGCTGCCTCAGGAGTGGACACCTGACCTAAACTGGACAAATCGGATTCTAACTCCAAAGAATGGGGAATTGGGAAACAGTGACCCTAGTTAGCACAGGCCACTAGAACTAGGAAGCCATCCATCGATGCAGGAACTACGGGGGCCATGTGCACAGAGAAGCAGAAAAAGTAGTCTTGTGAGAGAAGAAGGAAGGAAGGAGAAGTAGGGGCCAGAGGCCTCCTGGGTGCTTCACTCTCCCGACCCTGAACTCCCGCCTCTCTCTTGCCCTTGTCGAGGTTGAACCTTCGAAGATTGGTCAAAGCTGGAGCAACGGCCCAGCAGCCTTTCAAATATTTCCCAATTCTGCTTAAGCTGTTGCAGTTTCCGTAATGGAAAGACCCTCGACTGGGACAAGCACAGAGCGCGAGCTCCTCTGCACCAGCTGTTCTCGAATAGGGGTCCAGGGGCACTGGGGGTCCCTGAGACCCTTCAGAGAGTTGGTCAAGTCAGAACTGTTTTCGTAGCAGTACTAAACGCCACTGAAATTGCTCACTCTCATCCTCTCACAGACGCACGGTGGGGTTTTAGAGGCTACGTGGCGTGATGATGTCATCGCTCTGTGTGCTTCTGTGTTGTTCAGTCTAACATTTTTGTTTTAATTTCTAATATCCTAAGTACCACTAGTTACAACCTACCACAACAACAGCTTTCGGAGAGCTCTCAGTTATTTTTAAGTAAAGAATTCCTGAGACAAAAAAACTTTCACTCCTCTATCTCATTGCTACTTAAGGTGTGGTCCTCACTTTACACAGTGACGTGGGGCTTCTTCCCCAGGCCAGACCTCAGTCTCCCCCCAGACCCACTGCATCGGAATCTGCAGGTGACTAAGGTCGCCAGCTGCACATGCGTGTTCCAGTCTGAGAAGCACTGGGCTACACCACACGCATCCGCAAACACTGACAGGCTGATCCCAACACTCTCGTGGATGACTCACAGGAAGTCGTACACTTTCAAGGGCGTGGATTTCTTGGACTAAAATGACCAGCGACACAATCATTAACTGTGGGTTCTGAATTTCCTTCTCCCCTCGGAAATCTTCGTCACAACTCCGAGAGCTGCTGTCCCCTTTGCTTGCTCCCTCCTAATCACATCTAGCCTTTATGAAGCACTCAAAATTGGCTACGGTATATTTACTGCTCCCATTTCAATGATGAAGAAACCGAGGTCCAGAGTTCGCATATAATTTGGCAAAGGTCACACAAGTTACAAAATTCCCCCACAGGCTGTTCTTGCAAGCTCCCCTCAGGCCTGGCCTCAGTGGGCACACGAGGCAGCCCGGGGCCTCACTGAAGTGCAGACTCGAATTCACCCTCCAGGATGAAGGGTGGGGTCCTGCCCTTCTAATGATCCCCTACGTGACACTGATGCTGAGTCCAGAGGACACACACTGAGATGCACGGCCTTAAATGGCCTTTCAGTCCTGACACAGAAATGGGTGTGGCTGTTCTCCAACAGCGGCAGCAGCTTGAAAACACCCCGAGAAAGGCGGCTTCACCCAGCGGCTTCATAACCTATCCCAGCCCAGGCAGGCTCACCTACACTCCTCCGGGTCCTCCCGGGGCTCGCACCACGGGTGACATGTCCACAATGTCACTGCACAATGTGGAAGCATTCAGCTGCCCCTTAGGCAACACAACGTGGGCCCAGAGCTGGTCTAGGCCCCATCCAGCCCCCTCACTGTGTTCAGGTTTCCTCTCGCCTCCCACAAAGCTGAAATATGGCTTCCGTCATTCAAAAACTGGTCACTGGCCACATGCTGGAGACGGGGTCATGCATGACCTGGTGGAAAAAGCACTGATGTTCAAATCCTGCCTTCTTCCTTACGAGGCGGGATGACTTTGAGCAAGTCCCTTAACCTCTCTGGAAATAGTAATGCCGACTCCCGGGAATGAAAGCAGCAGCGCTGGCGATACAAACGCAATACAAGCCATGTGTATCATCTTACATTTCCCAAGAGACATGGTTTTTTAAAAAAGAGTAAAAAAAGGAACAGGTGCAATTAATTTTAATATTTTACTTAACCCCACATACCCAAATATTATCATTTCAATATGTAATTAATATAAAAATATTGAATATGAAGGAGATGTTCTGTATTCTTTTCATACCACACCTTTGAAATCTGGTATGTATTTTACGTTTACAGCACATTTCAATGTGAACTAGCAACACTTTAAGTGCTCAGGAGCCACACGTGGCTGGGGCAGTGGACGAAGCGTGAAGGTCACGGTTCCTGCTGTGTGGTGGCTCTGCCTGTACAGCCCGGCCACACTGCCTGGTGCACGGTAAGTACAAGGAAGTAAAAATGGCTGCTGCCCATCGCTGATGTTCTCACAAGACTCCCCCGTTCACAGTCGATGGCTGCGAGTCCAGTCCTCTATGTTTAGGTTGAGAATGGAGAAGTCGTGAAGACCATTCCCCTTCCCCAATCTACTCACATAACTTTGGTCTGGGGGGAAAGGAGGAGAGGGAAGGAAGCAGGCCTGGGGGAGATACAGGCCGTAAAGGTGAATAGCTCTTGAAGTTCACAAAAAGCCCCGAAATTCTAAAGCCTCCTAAGGCCATTCTACGGCCTCCTTTAATGACAGAATTAGATATTCATTATTTTGTAACCTCCAGTGAAATTACGTCCCGGCAAGTTCATCAATGGCTGCTGAACCGATCAGGTGGAACCTCAGGGGGGACCTCTTGGAGTGCGAGAAGGGAGGGGTAAGGCTGACAACACCCAGAACCGTCCAGCAACTCTACCACCAACAGAAGCAGAGCCGGTGGTCAACGTCGCCCCCCCCGACGTGATGCAGCACGAAGCACACACCACACCTAGGAAACTCCTCCCCACCAAAAAAATATGTGCACACACGCCAACACGTGAATCCAATCCAGTCTCTAACCAAACCAGTTCTCAGGAAACAGAGGACAGAGGGACACTTTAAATACCATCAGTCTGCCAAACCGAGGGACTGAGGAGATCCTCCAGACCGACCACCCAACTTCAACAAACGAATGGCATGGAGAAAAAACGTGTGTGTGGTAGGGCACAGCAAAGACAGGGCACATCTCAGAATCCAAGAGGCTTAAGTTTCAAACAAAGCAGCTGAAAAAGACATGTTTCTTTAAGAAAATGAGGGAGAGATGGTCAGGGGCTGGATGGTAGATATTGGAAAAGTTGTTCCTCTTATTGGGTATGATAGTGGTATGTCAGAGATACACACGGAAGTATATGCTTTCAAACATTTCACACATAAAAAACAAAACATGCAAATCAACAAAAAGGGGAAGAAAAGAAGAGAAAACAAGATTGTCAAGTTTTTTGCAAAAGCTGGGAGCCAACTACATACATCAGGCGTGCGGCATCAGATGACCGCCCTGCCTGGACTGTGAGTCCAGCTCCCGCCAACAGGTCTGGGGCAATTCGGCACAGTGTGGGCAGCACTGGACCACCTGCACCGTGACCTAGAAACCTGGTTACCCTATAGCTTTCCAGACCCCACCCCAGACCTCTTAAGTCAGAACTTCTGAGACCAGGTCCTGGGAATCTGCACTGATAGGCTGTCCTGGTGATTCTGCTATATATTGCACTAAGGTGCAAAAGCCACAGGGACAGGCAGGTGGGCCTACTTATCACTAAATCCAACCCTCGGGTCACCCAGGGTCAGCCTCTTGTCCGTGAAAAAAGTGAGGGTCCTGCCTAGAGCCTCAAGGAACCAGACAGGACGGAGAGTCAATTCTCTAGATGAAAAGCAGCAGTTTAGCCCTCCGGGACCCTCTCCACCTGGTTTCTGTCAGATGCCCTTGCAGACCACCCCCCCCACAGGTTGACCACGAAGAGCCGCTTTGGGCTTGAACATGAGGACTCTGGAGGACCAATCTCAGTACCTGCAATCACCACCCTGGTTTGGTTCCCTCCCCTCAAAACCATTCTCATATTTTTATTCCTTCTACCGTAAATTTCCCCTCAGCCACTCCCCAGGCTTCTGGCATTTTCTTGCCACATTCCATGACCACCAGCTTCCAAAGACCGGTCCATACCTGCTTGGGAACCATCCGCTGTGGTTCTACTCTCTCTACTGTGGGGTGTAACAAAATACACCCCACAGTAAGTGTCCTAACCCTGCCCCTCTGGGGCACCCCTAAGGACAGGAAACCTTCTGCCTTCTTTCATGAGCAAGCAGCAGGAACACGGTCCCACCTTCCTTGTTCTCCACCCTCACCTTCATCCCACCTCCCACTTTTCCCAAACCCTCGGCATCCCCTTGGGCCACCCTCTACCTCTCCTCCCTCTTGCCAGCTCTGAACTCTTACATTCTACCACCTAAGATCAGAGCCCATCTGGGATTTTCCTCTGAGTGCTCTGCAAGGGGACCCATGGATATGGGCTCCCCTGGTGCAGTGGGACTTCGAATCTGGGGACCAGTGTCTTGGTGACCTTGGATTCCCTGACCACTCTCACACCCTCATGGCACCCTGGCTTACCCGTCCTCTGGTCCTGTTCTTTCGCTTAGGAATATCTTCTTCTAAATCCTCTTCTTCATTTCCTTCTTCTACATTTTCATCATTTTCCAAAACTCTCTGAAATGACAAGAAAATGAAGAGAGGGAGTAAGAATGAAGTACAAAACAGATAACCACCAGAGGGTAATTCGGGGGATATTCCATTTTGTTGTGTTTTAACAGAGTAGAGATGCTGCCATTCCTTAGGGACCAGGGCTCCCAAACGCTGCCCAGGGCTTCAGAGCTCAGTGATACCAGCTTTCTCTCAACCCCTGGCGCCCTTTCCAGGCAAGTCCTCCCAGAACACTGACCTTTCACAACTTGGTCTTTTGGACCAAGACGGGTTTTCTAAAAACAAAATATTCTGGTAGGAGCAATTTTCTATGTGGATCTAAGATGTTTTGTCAAAACTTTCTTTAGTGTAATTTTTCTTTTGTTCCTAAATATGAGAACAGGTTTCTCCTCCACCTGCCATGCTGGAACCCTGCCCTGTTTGATAAAAACAAGTAACTTCCTGTTCATCGGACCATAATTTGACATTAATGTGTTTTTCATAATCACCCATTGTTATTTAAGAAGAAAAAAAGGATTTATTTTCATTACAGAACATTACTTGTAATGGAGCTTAAAGATCCTATGTTTAACTCTCTCCGACAGCTCTACTGGTTATACTGTAGAAGAGAATTCCACTTTCACTTTGCAGGTGAACAAACGGAAGCTGAAAACTTGTTTGATTTTTCAAGATCGTCCAGCAAACCCATGACCAAAGCAAGGTCAGGTTCATGAGCTCAGAGTTTCCCATTTGTTCTTCAGCCCTAAAGATGCCAAGGTGTATCATGGCATACCCTTCCTGTATGGACCTGAGCACCTCAGTCCCTCTGCGGATGGTACATATCTCTAGGTTTAAGGGAAAGATAAGAGGATGGTGGACGGTGGGGGGAGCAGATGACCCAGCCCCCACGGTGGCAGAATGGGAGAAAAGAGCGCGGAACTCACTGGACTGCATGTCAGGAGCCCTGGTGGTTTCTTTACAGGCCTCTTTCCCCAATTATAAAACAGAAACTCATTCATTCATTCAACCAGCAAACGTTTGTCTAGTGCTGACTAAATTGCAGGTGCCGTGCTAGACAAGCCACAAAGTGGCTACAGTCAAGGCTCCAAACAGCTCTGGATAAGGACAGATTTAAACAACACAGATAACCATGTAAGTACAACTGTTACAAAAACAGTGACCAGCAGGTTCAAACTGTTCGTAACAGGGCGATACGAGGAAATTTAACTAACCTGAGGGTCAGGTAAGGCTTACCTGAAAAAAGCGACCTAAGAAAGTTGAGCTGTAAGGGAGAGAAAAGACCAGCTTGGAATGGAGACGGGGTTAGGGAGAAAGGGAAGTATGTTAGACAGACGGAACAGCACGAACAAATGCCCTGAGGTGGGGAAAGGAACATGACTTGTCCAGGAGCAAAAAGAAGGCCAATGTGAGCTCAGAGGCTCAGGAAGAGGTTGGCGTTAAGATGAGCTAGCAAAGAAGGTGGGCACCGTGCTACACAGGACAGCAGCACCCACTCTGTGGTGATGGTGTGACAACCACACAGCTATGAAAAAGGCTTAAAAAGCAGCTCGGACCACACTGGTATCCGGTGGTATCACTGTCACTGTTCAAGGGGCCTCCTGGACAATGCCTCTGGCCTACCCTCAAAGCAGAAAGCCCAGGAGTGAAGTTACCACCGACCTCCTCCCACTGCCTTCTCACCAGAGAATTCTGTTCCAATCACAGAGGTCAGGATACTGCTAATTACCAAACCCTCCCAAAGAACTCAAAGCAGGTCTAGTCAATTCTTCCGTGGCTTCTCCACTGGGTTTATTTGGGAAGCCATCAGCTGACAGCACTTTCAAGTCTCTGGGACAAATAACAGAGAAGCACTGTCTGCTGGACACGACCTCTGGCCTACACCTAGGAAATGCTATGCGGGTCCAGGGCAAGCCTCCGAGCCTCCCTGCATCTTGGCTTGACTGGTAAGTGGGAACATGAACACAAGCCAAGCAACGTAAGAACTGGTAAGATGCTCTGCAGCCTTTGGTGAACAGATACAGTTATTACGACTATTGTTACTACGCATACAGCCATCTTGCAAACTTTCTGGGTCTTGAAGTTACTTAATCATGGTAAGTTCTAAGTGCCTCAAATTTAAAGGCCATTGCCTCTAGCACCTCAGCACAATTCTGACTCCTGTCATTTTTCAATATGAAGATCTGTATTACCTGCAGTACGGACTCTAGATCGCACAGTGAAAGACTGCTGAAGGCAGCCGCGCGAGCCCATGGAAGAGCCGCATGGCCTCAGTGTCCGGGAGCAAACTGACTTCTCCCCCGGGCTCCATCCCTCCCTCTTCCCAACACCTTCTTTGTGTCTCCAGACACTCTTGTGTGTGCCCAGGCCTCAGATGTGAGGGCCAGTGTGTCTGCATTTTGTGCAGCAGGGCCTGACACCAGAAGCCTCTCTAAATAGCTGGGGGAGGCAGGGTGGGAGAGGGGAGGGGACAGTTGCTAACGAACAAAGGCTGCATTCAGGGCACAGGAAGGAGAGGGGTATCCTGTGTTTGGCATGAAGGACAGAGGTGTCCCACTGGAGAGACAGCTGATCCTCCAGTAACACACTAGCATTCCGAGTCCAAGGACATTATCTGGGAAATAAACACATTTTAAAATAACTTTCGCCCTGTTACTCTAAACAGTCTTTATGGTGGTGATAACAATGGTTTGTGGTGGTGGTATTTTGTGGGGGTTTGGGTTTTTTTTTTTTTAAGAATTCTTTTTTAAAGATTCCACTATCTCTGGCCTGGAACACTGCAGAAAACTCCCGATTCCCTTTCCTCCAGGACTGGCCCTGGACCCCGTGTCCTCTCCGTGAGAGGACCAGAGGCCTATCTCAATGAAACACAGATTCGCTGCCCGGAGTAAAATCCTCCATATGGCTCCCAGAAATCAAAAGCCGCTTCGACGTGTGGGGAGGCTGGAGTGGTCTGGACACCCCCGCCCACCCGCCCACTGCATTCCAGCCCTTCTTCCCCGGCGCTGCCCCCACCAGGAGGCCCTCTGTCTGCTCTCTCACCACCGCCATGAGCTCAGACCTGCCTCGATGCCTTCACGCTGACTGCTCCTCACCCCAGAAAGTCTTCCCTAAAATCCTCTCTTTGCTGGCTCCTTCTCATGGCGTAGGACTGAGGTTAAATTCCTGTGTCCCCTAAGACACTCCCCGGAATCTGTTCCTTCTCTTACACTGAATCTTCACACTCTGCTCTTTTCATGGCATTGATCCTGAAATGCAACTGTTCTATTGGTTTCCTTGCTTTCTGTCTGTAAGTCACACCAGACTGCAAGTATGAGCGGAGGTAACAGGTCTCTCCTGGTTTCTCTTTCCCTAGAACCTAGCAAAGTGCCTGCTCAGGAGAGGCACTCAATAAACTTCAGTTGGATGAATGAATTAAAAAAAAAAAAATCAACACAACTTTCCATTTACCACGAATGTAAACTCATTTGGCTCAGTCCTGGCACAGGGAGAGGCAGCCCCGTGCTCTGTACACAGCAGACATTCGTTTTACATCATGGATGGTGGTGGGGAGGACGAGTCCACAATGACAACCCAGATACTGGCCCAGCGCTGTGTGAGAAGAGCTCAAACCACCGCCAGCTTTAAAGGGAAAGGGCTTTAAAGCATCAAGGCTTCTGGGCAACAGTTCTGTCCCTCTCACTGACTCAGTCACATTACGCTAAACGAGAAAAAATGCTCTACTAGGTAATACAGATGTTGACTTCAAAGATCTGAAAATCCACAAACGGAGGGTGATATATAAATAGCAAACAAAAAAACGTGCTGGATACCCTAAACGCCAGAGGCGAGAAGACTCCGACTACGAGGGGATGGAGAAGGGCTCCACGGGGGAGGAGGCACTGGGGCTGCGCCTGACAGGTGAGTGGACCTGGCACACAGGGAGACGGAAGGCAGGCACATCAGACAAAGGGCACCGCACGACCACAGGCACAGGAGGAGGACGGCTGAGAACAGAGGGAGCAAAGGAGCAGCAGCAATGAGCCTGAAAACCAGGTTAGGAGCGGAGAGCAGAGGCCCTGGAAGAACACACTCTCCGTTTTGGATTTACTTAGTAGGAAACAAAAGGTGTCTTAGCTACATTTTTTTTTAGCAAGGGGGTGACACAAGTAGAACTTTGTTTCAGGATGAAAGGCCAGCTCAGAGTAGGCAGAGCTGGAGAGGGAAAGGACAGGGGACGAGCCCCCTCGGGAATCTGTCCCCTCACGCACCCTCTCAATAAATATCCATCGTGTGCCAGGCACTGTCTGGGTGCTTGAGACAGATCAGTGAACAAGACAGACAAAGACTCCTCCTCGTGAGGAGTTTGCGGTCTATTGTATGAAAACAGAAAATAAACAAAGTACATTAGAACATGGTACACAGTGCTATATACCAAAGTACACAGTGGTAAGAGCTGCAGGGAAAAAGAAAAGCTGCGTAAGCAACGGCAGTGCTGGGCGTGGCTGGTGCAGGACGTGGAATCACATCAGCAGTCAGGATACGCACAGCTCAGAGAAAAGAGGGGATGGAAGCAAACTCTTGAAGAAGGTGAGAGAGTAAAAAGTCACCATGTTTGGGGAGAGGACTCTGCCGGCAGAGAAAGAGCCAGAGCAAAGCCCAGAGGCGGGGGTGTGCCTGCTCCGCTCCAGGAGCAGCAGGAAGAGGTCGGAGTGCCTGGAGCGGAGGGAGAAAGGGAAAGAGTAGGAGAGACAGGTGAGCGGTCCCTGACTTTCACTCAGTGAAAACAGGGGCCCTTGCAGGGTTGTGAGCACAGGAATACCAGGATCTGACTGAAATTTTAAAGGGGTTCCTCCCAGCCATCAGCAGGGAGACCATTTAGAGTTCGAACAGGAGGTGAGAGTGTCTCGGAGCAGGGTAGGAACCCTGGATGTGGTGAGAAGGGGCTACGCTCTGGATTTATGTTGTGTGCACAGTCGACAGGATTCCTGATGAGCTGGACGTTCCGTGCGAGAGAAAAGCACCAAAGATCACTCCAAGGTGTCAGACAAATAGAAGTGATGGTTAACAAGGATCTGCGCTAGGGCTGGAGCTCTGTGAAGTCACGGAAGAAACAATCAGAAGCCACGTTGTAACAACCAAATGGAAAAGATCTGACCATTCATCTGAACACAGGGACGCCAGACTCACTAATTCATTCAACACCTTCTTGAGACCTCACTCTCCTGGACACAGGCAAGGCCAAGGGCACAGTGATGAGCTTGGCAGCATATTCCCTACTCGATGGAACTGAAAAGACTGGGAGCACTTAGGAGGCAAACCAAACATTCAAGTTATTAATTTAATTATAGTGTTAATAAATATATAAATATTAAGTTAGGCTGAAATTCATAAACATGCTATATATTGTGTATACATAAAATATAAAAATGTAAATTTAATATAAATGCAATGTAATTTTAATCATCTCATTATGACCACTATTATTTACTACCAGTGTTACTTAACATTATTACAACACTGTGCCCAACATTATAAGCAACAACAGGGATCCAAGTCAAAGAGACCAGGAAAGGGGACAGCACACCATCATAATCCTGCCTGATGGCAGCCTTACCAGCCTGAAGAGTGGGTGGTGAACACAGGGGGACAGGAGCCATGAACCCTGCTTGGAGGGTGACTTCTGAACTGGCCTTAAAGAAGGAGTGGCTAGTGCAAGGAAATGCAGCCAGGACAGGGTGTGAGGCTGGGAGACAGGGTGCCCGAGGCCCGAGACTCACTCGGCACCAGCTAATGCAGACAGACAACACTGAGGCTTTGAGCCTGGTCTACGGCTGCACACTCCACGGGGGTGAGGACTCCATCTGTTTTGCTCCCCACTGTGCCCCCAGGACCTAGTGCCACGCCTGGCACCCAGCTGGCCCCCAAGATACACTGAGTACAGAAGTAGGGAGATCAGGGAAGAGAAGTGGATTTGAGAGGAACGACAACATCTTAACTTCTCTCGAGTTAAAACCCGAGAAGAGTCTTCCGGCCTCCCGGCAGCGGCGCCAGGAGGCAGGCTGAGATGCCACTCTGGCCCTGGAAAAGAGCACCCGAGCTGGTGCTGGAGTTCTGGAAGCACCACGGCGATGCTCCGGTGGCGCCCTCCACCCTCAGCGGGCACAGAAATACCTGTATTTCCTGGATGCTCTCCTCCTCTCTGGCGTCCACCTTCTTCTCAACCCCTTCACCTCGGAGCAAGGCTTCCAGCGTGGTGCTCTCCGACGTGAACGCATCCTTCTTCAGGGGCAGCTCCACTTCTGAAATACAAGGACAGAGAAGCAGAGTCAGGCCCCTAGAAACAGTGACAGGAGGAACAGGAGAGATGGCCCTTGAGGACGTGCAGAAACCAGAGCTCGGGAGCAGGACTCGAGGCCACCTCCCTGTGCTCTCTCCTTCAAGAAGAACAGGGCACTGCAGTTGGGTCCAGCCGTTCCGACTCCAGCCCTGCCTGCCCCCTCAGAGGCGGCAGAGGCAGAGCAGCAGGGGAGCCAGATGGACGTGGGATCAGATGGCCAGGGTCTCGGTCCAGCTTCTGCCCTCTCCAGCCCTGTGACTTTGGGCAAGGCGCGAGAACCCCAGAGCCCTTATTTGCATCTATAAAGTGAGGAAAACAACGCCAAGCACCCTACATGGCTGGTTTGTGGGGTAAAAATGTGCTCTTTAACATTTAAATTCTTTGAAAACTCGAAAGCAGTACACCGACACTGGCCACAGCTCTTAGTAATCTCTGCCTCTAGCCCAGCTCATGTGGCAACTCCGTGACCGCCCCTCAGCCACACAAGCTGCCCAGCTCCAGTCTGCTCCATGGAAAGCTATTTCAGCTCAGAGAGGCTGTTCTTAACAACTCACCAGGGAAGCAAAGGCCTCAAAAGCGAGGGGAAGAGAAAGACCAAGCACAGACGCCCCCCCAGGCCCTCCTCTGCACACCAGGGCCCTTTTCCTGAAAATGTCAGGAGTTCGGTGGACAACCTGGGCATGTGAGGTTATGGGGCCAGCGAGCAGTGGCAGCCAGAGCTGGCCTGCCCAGGAGAGGCACCAGAGAGAGGCTGGTCCCCTTTCTCAATGTGTCCCCAAACTGCTAACCCAAAGGAGGAGTTTTTCTGTTTCATTAAAAACAGAAACCTCGGGTACAAGTGATCATATTACAAAATATTCCTCCAACCTCTCCTCTGACCCTGTACCTACTCCTGCTCCCCTGACAATTAGATGTGCGGTCCCTACCCTGTATCAGGTAAAATGGGTGCAAGAGTATGGGGGAATGATGGCCCAGAAACCAGTCAGACAACATGAGTGGCCCATCTGTGTGGGGGATCAGTGTAGGAACTATTCACGGAAGTGTGGGCATTAGTCAGGGAACAACAGGGAACGGTGAGGCACCCTGGGGGAGTTAACAGTGGGGCCCTTACCACTGCTCTTCCTGGAGGGACAGAGGGGCAGCGTCTGCGAGAACCTGGAGGGGACGCCATCAGAGCTCCCAGCTAGGAGCTGTGGCTTGTAGCAGAGGCGCCCTGCCGCCCTCTCCTGAGCTCCTGGATCAGAGAATGGAGCATAGCGACACATGGCCCAGCCTCTCCTTCCATCGTCATCTTTCTGCCCTGCCCTGCCCTCCTACTGGCCAACCTCGACCAGACACTGGAGAGCAAGGGATCCTTGTTGATGCAACCCACTGAGGTCAACTTCCTGGATCCCAGGACAGAGTGAAAAAGGACGAAGAGTGGATCTGGGGGAGCAAATGGAAATAACCAACTCAATCAAGCCCTGTTCCACCAGGCTTTATTCCAACTCAAATGGAACTCTACCCACCCCTTCCATCTCCTCCACCAGAAGCAGATGCAAACTAACCAGTCCACAAGGAAGAGGCACTCAGCATCCCATCAAAACTGAAGAAACACACATCCATGGCGACCGGCCCCAGAAGAAGGCAGAAAGGAGAAACAGTAGCTAAAGTCTCTTGAAAGACAGGGTCTTTGGGATTTCTCTTGCCAAAAAAGGCAAGCAGAGGATCCAACTCCACCAAGCAGCAATACCATCAAATCAACCACCTCTAAAACTCACCCATCCACCTATTCATTCGACAAATATTTACTGAGCGTCTGCTTCCTAACAACTGCTGTAATGGAATGAGGTCCACCGGAGGAGAGCCAAATGAAGACAGTGCTGGCCCTTAGGTCGTTTACGGTCTAAAGAGATAGACGTTAAACACTAAACACAAAATAAATGTGCAATTACAAATGGTAGTAACAACTATGGGGAAAGCAACACAGGCATCACACACGACTTCCCAAATAAACCTACAGGTACAAATTACAACGGGAGCTGTGAAGGAAGAATCAGGTGGGGGTCTCCTTCAGATCGTAGGAGCAGGGAAGGCCTGAGTGAAGCTGACTTTTTGCTGAAAAAGTCAACTGTTTGCTTTAAAGGGTTCAGAAGGTATAACTTCAGAGCCTGCTCTGATGACATATTCTTCCTCCCAAGTCAGAAAAGGCTTCCAAATGTCGAGTCTAAAACAATGAAAGTGCTATAAATGTTGCGTCATTCAATCCTCAGTCAAAAGACAACAGCTGGTCACCATTCCTCAAACTTATAATAATCACTCAAGTATATATTTGACATTAATATTTTAGTATCCCCTTAGCCTTCAGAACACTAAATAAATCTTATTTCCAGAACTGCACATTTTGAGCTAAAAAAAACCTTACAGATCATCTGCTTTAATCATCTTATTTTATCACCTGAGAGGCTTCGAGAAGAAACTTCATTGAAAGTAACATAGTAGAAGAAGAATGCAACCAAATGATCTTTTCTAGATGCCACTGAGACCACAACAAGAGCTCCACTTAGGGCAACCCCATTGGTAGTTTGCAGGCCCAGGCTGGGTCCTGGTGGCCGTCAATACGTTTGTGTACAAGCAAGGTGCTTGGCACACAGCAAACACCCCAAATGCAGCAGCCGTTATTGCTATGTAGTCCTTAATCCCACCCACCACTCAAGAGGTAAGCAGTCATCCCATTTTACAGATGCAAATGCACAGCTTAGGGAGCTGCAGAACTTGCTTAAAATCGCACAATTGTTAAGTCCAGCCTTGACCCCAATCTGCCTCCAGCACCCATTCACCAAATCCCTTAAGGTGTACAGACTTCACCTCACCTCTCTTTGGTTCTTCCTTGAAAAGCCTTTTTCCAAACCTTTGTACATTTTCATTGCATTCCTAGGCTCTCCCCATAGCTCTCACATTTGGGGACAAGAGGCAGATCTTTGCTGAGGTTGCAGGCAGGTTGATGGCATGGTTCTGGGCTCTGCCCCCGCTGACATCCCCACGTGGTGTGCACCCTGCCACAACGGTACAGACCGCACACCACTTCTCACCAGCTGAACTTCCTCCTCCTGCTCCTTCTTACTGCTGTGCTAACTTATCCCTCCATCCTGCTTTCCCATAAGTCAATCTACTCTCTTGGTCCTCTGGTCCCCTATCAGACGGGCATAGTAGAAAAACCAAGAGGGAAAAGAAAACCAAAATAGGAACAGTGAAATGGGCTCCCTACGTGCAAAGAGCTAGAAGGCACCTGCAATAGCATCTGGAGTTCAACCCCTTTGTGAGGAAAGGGGAACACAGAAAGGTAAAAAGGCTTTCCCAAGGCCACAGAAAAATTAGCGGCATCATTCTTGCCAAACTGCCAACATATTTAGTTGGCTCACAGAAGTTCTGCTTTCAGAGAGCCCTAAAGTCAAGCCCTAGCCTTGCCATATATTGACTGAGGGACCACAGACTTAGTTAAACCTCTAAGTTTCCACTTCCTTTGTGTTAAATGGGTGTGATCAGACTAGCTATTCCAACAGGTTAATACACTACATTAAAAAAAAAAGCTGAAAAGACCCACAAAAATAAGTAGTGTGAGAGACAAAGTAGAAAATGAGGCTCATCAACATTTGTTTTGGTTTTTCTATTCAAAACTTAAGATTCAAAATTAGATCATACAGGTAAAGAGCCCGGAATGTTCTAAGTGGCCTATAAATGCTACATTATTATTAAAGTTTGAATGACTCTGATTTTAATGGTATAGCACTACTGTCCAACATAAATGTAATGCAATCATTTATCATTTTAAACTTCCTAGTAGCCACCTTTTAAAAAGTAAAGAACAAGTGCAATTAATTTTAATAATATTGTCTCTAACCCAATTTATCCAAATATTATCATTTCAACATGTAATCAATATAAAATATGAATGCAGTATTTCACACTTTTATTTACACTGTCTTCAAAACCTAGTGTCTCACACTTGCAGCACATCTCAGTTCACAGCAGCCACAGTTCAAGTATTTAGTAGGCTGGGAGCTACTGGCTATTGTGTCAGTGCAGGGCTATAGCATTAAGAGTAATGTTTACTATGATTTGCTTTCCCCAAAAGGAAACATATTAAAAATGGTTCATAATGTTGTCTGCGTAGCACCCCGCCAACTGCCATTCTAAGACAGCATTCTAGCTGACCACTGGCAAACCCTGGTTTCAAAGCACTGTGGGTAAGGCTTGCCAGGTCAGAGGAACACGCTAACCAGTGCCCTCACGCTAACCAGTGAACAAACCAGCACACAGTATATTCTCTGGCTCCTGACCATAGGAGGTTCCAGAGTGAAGGGGGAAAGAGGGTAACAGGTCCAAGTTCTTACACAATGTATGTCCTAGACAAGCTCCCTGTTGAGCTCTGAGGGATTTCATTGATTCAATTTTAATAAAGCTCATCTGGATGTAGAATTTAGTAATTCTTGAAAAGTGCACTCATTTTGAATCTCACGCAAACTTAGGGACCACATAACCTGACAGGAGCCATCAAACCTTTAACATTAAAAGAAAATGGTCCAAAACACACACATAATTCATCTTTAAATTAGCCTGATTTTATACACATGGATATAAACCCACGGATTGTTACTCTCTCCAGAGCAGGAGCAGCTGTCACCCAAGCCAGCCGCCTCCCTGGGCCCCTGTGAGCAGCTCTGCCTCCACTTCTAATTGGGAACAGAGATACTCCTTGGGTGACTTCCAGCACGATCCATCACACTAGAGACAGCTTCTGTGCAAACCGAAGCAAATCGGTTTCCAAATAAGAAAAAACCTCTTAGACAAACAAGGATTGAAGCGCACAGATAGTCTTTTTTAAAAAAGAAAGGAAGGAAAGGAAAAGCACAAATAAAAGCAGAGAAAGAAAATCACCAGGGAAGAGCAGCGGCTTGCTTCTTTCTCCCCAGGGCTGTGGAC